GGAAGCAGGGCAGCACTCCCTAGGTACCAGGATGGAAAAATGGAGAAAATCCCAAGCTCCCAGACCTTTCCCAATCCCAAGGGAATAGCCCACGTAGCCCCCTTTACACCCTACTGGGGTTCTCCCCTGTGGGGACTGACCCCTCTCTCCAGATAACTCATGACTTCCTGGCAGAGTTGTCCCTGCCTCCTGGAGTCTAGCACCTCTTCCTCCTGCAGGGGCTTTCTGTCACCCAGAGCTCCTTGTCAGCTGGCCCCCTTCAGGCCACATGCACCGCCAGCTCCTCCTTGTACCAAGGGTTAGAGGCCTGACCCACCTTGAGCAGCACTGGGGCTCAGTCCCTCCCTAGCATTCTGTGCAGCGTTGCCTGCACTGAGGCACTGGCTCTGTGTCAAGGGGTGGAAACCCGAGCTGCTGCTAGGGGCTCCCATGGTCTTGGCCTTGCCGAACCCTCCATGCTGCACTAGCAGTACCAAGTTTCCTGGCCTCTCACCAGGGACAGAGGACCTAAGCTGCCGCAAACAGCTCCCAGGGTCTCTCTCCATACACCTCCTGTGCACCAGAGGCCTGACTGGTTGCTGGGGGTTATGGACCCAAGCTGCCTTGTGCAGCTCCTGGGATCCCAGTACACTCCTGGACTATGCCATGTGCTGCCTGCGCACCAACTATCTGGCCACATGCCAGAGGTTGCAGACCTGAGCTGCCTCATGCAGCTCCCAGGGTCTGGTACGATGCACCACTCATGCACTGTGTTTCTGGCCTCTAGCTGGCAGGGGATTGCAAATCTGAGCTGCCTCGTGCAGCTCCCAGGGTCTGGCTGTGTGCACCAAGCTGTGCATCGTTCGCCATATTCCTTAGCAGCAGGACCGAGGACGTGGTCCCTCGCTGCTCCCATCCAGTGTGGGGGGGTCTTTGGGGCTCTTTGCGGTAACAGCTCTGCCCTGCTAGCCAACTCACACCAGCTTCTTCATCTCTTGACACAGCAGCCCCGTGTGCCAGGCATGCTGATCTTTTTATACCCTCTGGAGGTTCCACCCCTGGATTGCAAACGGACCAACCAGGGTGAAGGGGGGGTGTAGCCCTCACCTAGGTCTCGACTTTTCACCTCGCCTCAGGTAGGGGTGGGGCCAACCTCCCTCCAGTTGCTACATGATTAGTGGGAACACCCCACCAATCATCTGACACCTTTCTAAGCTGGCAAAATAGGTGGTTACCAGCAAATCTGCCACAATTGTATAGCTCCATAGCTGGATTTTTTGGCACTGATGCATGGTTTGGATTCCATATAGAATCATACTGGTAGGAACCTCAGAAGGCCATCTACTCCAACCCCATAATCAAGGCAGGATCATCTCTATCTGAGCCATCCTTGATAAGTGTTTGTCTCATGTGTTCTTAAAAACTTCAGGAATAACCTTCACATACAACTGCCAGGCATAATACCCAAAACATCAAAAATACTTTTCAATTTGCCAGGTTAAGCAGGAGATGAGGGCACTGACAATGTCCTGCCACTTCAAGGAAGTAGTTAAAATATACTCAAGAAATCAGTGTTATGCATGCTCTGCATTACCCAATTGGGAATGCTCAATAGGATACATGGGCACCTGGAACTGAGTAAGATTGCCTGGGTATACGCATCACAAAATATCATAAATACATGCAAATCACAGAACTTTAGTTACAGAAAAACTATAACCAGCTGATGTTTTATCTAATAGGAGGCTATTAAATGGCAATAGAAGTGCTACTTAGACACATGGGCTAGGTACAGACATCACACTTCTACAGATATAAGTGATTAGAAACCAGTCTATACCCATAACAGAACAGAAGTTCAGTGCACACAGCCTATTTACAAATGATGGAACCTGGTCTAAGCTTTGCCCGTCCCCCATCACCAAAGCATGAATGTGTGTTCTGTTTGCCACTGATCTAAACTGCACCACTTACAGAAAACCATGTAACTTAGATTGATTCCGCCTGGGCTTTTTGAAATGTCTGTACTTAGCCATGAAGGTGAAATAGGATTTTCCCTAAGTCTCTGGAATGCCATGCTGTGTTATCTTTTCCTGTCTCCTTTGAAACTTGATGGTTTCCTATTTGAACTCTTAATTCTGTGCCTCTGTAACTTGATAACTTTCTGACAAACTGAGGCAGAATCTCTTTGGAGCCAGTTGATGCTGTAACAGGCTAGTGGGAGCATAGCTGAACAATGCAAGATACTAGGCTCCCCCGCCTGTCTGACACTTGGGATTTCATTAGCAATGGAAGCTGATTCTCTAGCTTGCCAGGGCAGTGTGCTACTGTTAGGTCACTAGGCTGGCATACGTAGATACCTTAAATAGTCAAGTTAGCAGTACACAGAAACAGAATTAATTACATTAATTACAGTCATCCCTGTTGTGTTGGTACACACAAGAAAACAACTACCATCTGTAAACTGGCTGGACAATAGAATTATACATTGGAGTTAACTGAAGAACACCTCTGACATAGGAGAAATTCACATAGACTTTCAAATGGAGCAGAAGACAGAGAAGATAGAGTGGAGAAAAGGAAGGAATGCATCTGGCATCTGAGTTGCATTAGTCTTGGGCCTTTTACAGTGGAGGCATGTACTTCTGCTCTGCTTTCCAGATGCCCTCTTGCTTCCATATTTGGAGCCATATTATCATAGTCACGTTATCAGCAAGCACTCCAAACCTGCTCTGAATGAGTGTGTTCATCCAGCTGGATGAGCATTATCTCACATGACTATTCTCAATTGTCAGAAATGATGTCAAGGGAAACAGATATCTCTTTGTTTCCACACTCCGGCACTTTGACAGATGAAGGTCATCTGCAGATCAAAAGATTCAGGCATTAACATAAGGCCTGCACACTTACCCTTTCAGTCAAGATCCATCACACCTGGTCCTCTGTATTCCCTGAAGCAGAGGAGAAGCACCTTATCCTTATTTTTCTACACTGTACCTCTTCAAAAGTCAATAAACAGACAAAATCTGAGATCTGATACAGTGTACAGATATACATGGTGATTAGGGCAGCCTGACTGCCTGCAGCTTATTTCAGTGAAAACTATTATTCAAATTTCAAAAAACATACCACTTTTTTAATTCTCTGACTTCATCTAACCCTTTATCTTACTAATTTAAACTGAGTAAATCCCATTGATGACTTTTATGGTTAGATAAAATATCTACAACAGCATATTTGTGTGTGTGTGTGTCAGTTATGAAAATATAAATTTATACATTTTATCTTACTTCTGGGCATAGACAAAATTTAAAAACACAAATATTAATCAAATATGTCAAAAGGAAACGAAAGGAATCTTGCCCCAAATCCTCCTCAGTCTTTGGTACAACAACCCCTTCCCTCCCTCCAACCCCTCCCCAACCTTAACTAGCTCCTCCATTTACTTGTGAGCCTTGATATATATCCTGTGGGTCTTTAAATTTGATCTTGTGTAAGCCGGTACCTGGAATGGATCCTTAGCTGGCATAAGGAAGGATATTCCCATTGATGCCAATGGGGCTGCACAGCTTTATGCCAGGTGATACTCTGGCCCACATAGCCCTCGTTCTGATTAATATAAAGATCTGTAGTTCCTCAGGTTAAGTATTGAGTTCAACATCACTGCAGTTATTATTATTTACCTCTTGGGTCAATAAATCTTGATTTTTCACTAAACCAAGAAATCAATATGCACTTATAGTTTTTTATAATTAACAAACAATTTGTGGTACCAAGCAAAGAGAAGGTTTAAATGAGCTGCAGTTCTGCAAGATTATCCTGGTATAAAATACTCACATTTCTATTCTTGACTAAGGCATCATATTTTGTCTATCTATCTACCTACCTACCTACCTAGATCAGAGGCAGGCAATTATTTCAGGCAGAGGGCCGCTTACTGAGTTTTGGCAAGCCATCGAGGGCTGCATGATAGGCAGTCAGGGGCAGATAAATATTACTTTTCTAAATTTTTTAGGGGCCCCGTGGGCCAGATAGAATGGCCTGGTGGGCCACATCTTGCCCACCCCGATCTAGATATTTAAGCATATGTGTTTTCTATTATGAACTTTTTAAAAATTAACCAGGTTTATTTTACAGCTTGATGTTAGTACTACTTTAGAAGTGTCAAATACAGATCTTGGCAGGCTTACAATTTCATTATTCAGAGCAGGGGAAAAGGTTGCGAGTGAGTAAACAAAATCACTTTCCAGCTAAAAAAATGAGGCTGAAAAATCTGATGGGCTAATTTTGTAGACTATTTCACATGGCATTGCTTTGATTGCTTGCATTTGGTGTCCTTTTTATCATTTTTTTTTCTGTTTGTGTGATGGGGCCCTGGTTCCTGAGTTTAAGCTCTGAGAAAAAGAGTATAGGATCAGATTTTGGAAGTTGCATTGCAAGAATATGCTGGGAACAATTAGGCAGCAAAGTCAGCACTATTCCTCAGTTCAGCAGCATCATATTCTTGTATGTTATATAGTTTATTCAAGGGCTGTTGAGGACAGGAATGAGGTAATTTAGGTAAAACTATGTACAGAGTGGCTTTACTAGTCTATTCCTTAAAGAAAAGCAGAAATGCAAAAAAAAAAAAAAAATGAGGGAGTGAAGGTAAATAATTATCTAATTTGACACTTCAAGTAATCCCACAACTGCATAAATTTATGTTGTAACCTCTCCCCACCCCAAACAAAGAACCCTCTGAGGGACTCCGGACCTTCAGCTCCATAAAGCAAACTGCTACTGCTGAAGCAACAGGAATAAACACAAGATTAGGAAAAAGGAATCTTAGTGTTATTTCTTCATGAATTCATTTTTTCCATGTGAGGAAAATGATCTTTTTATACTAACTCAGTTTATTGTTTTTATGGAACTGGTGACTTAAACATTTTACAGTTTTGTTTTCATTGCAGTCTTCCCAGCATACATTTTGTAGCAGCTGTAGCATTCTTCACAGTGCAGCTAACATGGCATTGTGTTCACAGCTCCCTCAACCCCATTAATAAAGGCAGAGGACTGCACCGTGTGTTGGGACACAGCCACCATCCGATGGAGTTCAGCCAACTCAGAAGCAACAGAGTCTTTCACGCTGGAATACTGCAGACAGTATTCCCCTGAAGGAGAGGGTCTTAGGTGAGTGCCTGAGGTTTTGAATTTGGAGAATTTGGATTAGAGAGGCTTTAAGGAGCATGTCCCACATTGTGAGCTATTATGTAAGTGATTATATTGTTTGTCTTGAACTACATAAAGAAGAAATCAGCTTTTTATGGTGAGGAAGAGCCAGGCCAGATGTTAATCTCTGAGATTATACTGGGAAACCACAAGTACTTTCATTTTATTCTGCTAAATGAAAGTCTATTTATTTGGCATCAAAATTTTGAAGACCTTGTGTGGTCCATCCCAGGCAAAATTCCAGTGAGCTGATCCTCAAATGAATAAATAAGAGAGATGAATGGATCCACTCCTCTGCACAGTAGAACCAGTGCAGTTGTGCTGCCCAGGGAAGGGCAGACTTTGGGAAGTTTGCATCTCTCCTTTCTGGGGTACAGGATAGGAATGTGGATACAACTGGGGGGTTGGCTGCTGCATAAGGCCCTGTGGGAAGTAGCACAGTGAAGGGACTGTAGTGGCCCAGGAAGCAGGATTTGCAGCTGCTTGGGGATTTGGCATGAGATTTCCATGCTGCCAGCTCCTCTGGGCAACCCCTTGTGCTACACCTGGGTACTTGTGCCGAGGAACAGATGAGGAGAATTTAGTCATCTTTGAATAATGAATGCCTGGTGTGAGGTAAAATGTATAATAATGTGCCGTAGCATTGCTTGTACGTCCTTGTTTTAAAAAACACCAAGGATTTAAGAGATCTGAAAAGTTTGTGGGGGGTTGTCCCAGGAGTGTTGGTGAAGGATTCTCTACTCGTTTTGGGCACCTCAACACATGCTCTGTGGTGGAGGTAGAATTTTTAAATAGTGCACCTCTCAGTGGAGGCACTTTAACTAAATCTCATTCAGTTAACGAGCCCCCACTGTCATTTTGAAACACGGGATGCTGAATACATGAGGTTGATTGAGTCTGCTCGGATGCGTTCCAGTTGGAATACATCAGAGCACGTGTATAGAAACACTGTGATGTTAAAAAACACAAACAAGGTTTAGTGCAATACTGATTAGCTTGCCTTTAAGTACAAGAATTTCAAATGGGTTTTAAGATTCCTCAGGTCCTTGTGCCCCAGGGAGTTCTGGATAGGTGGACTCACACCCTCACTCCATACACACTACTCCCTGAAATCAAAGTAATATAGTCACCTTGGAGCGCTGCTGTGTGTGTGTTACTGAGGTTATCAGTAAGCTCCCAATTGGTAAGCTTCTGGTAAGCCACTAAAATGGTTATGTTATGTTTGTTTCAGGACATAGCACGCATGGAGAGGATGTGTTCTGGCCAATTTATTTTCTGTATCCCACAGGATGGTGACAGGATGCTGTTCATGACTCTGGTGGCTTCCCAGCCCCACAGGCTAGAGGGGCACCTGCTAGGGTGAGATTCGTGTAGAAGGAATGGGCCCATTGCGCAAAGAAGATTTTTTTCTTAAACTAGGCTGAGTTCTGATACGCACAGGAGGGGCTGGTGATTGCACAGAATGGAAAAAAATAAACACTTGAGAATTTTAAAATCCTTCTATACCTTTCTTGAAGGATGTGCCTCAGAAGTAGACCATAGAGTACTGTAATGTACATGTCTCCCTCTGATCTTAAACTAGGAATTGAGCAGCGAACAGCTCCAAGCTGTAATTACGGTGTGTTGGAGCAGACTCGATTAGCTGATTATTTGGGTCTCCTGGAGCGTGGTAATTACTGCACTCCAGCATCTCATGCATCAGTGTCCCCACACTTAAAAATGGCAGGAGAGGTGCTTGTTCGACAAGCTTTAGATAAAGTGCCCCCACCGCCATATTTAAGTATGGGGACACTGATACACAAGACACTCCTGGCATTTTAATTAGAGCGGCTCTCAGAGCTGCTCTAGTTAAAGGCCCTTCCTTCCCCCCCACTCCTTCAGCATGTGTATAAATGACCACAAAAACTAAAAATCCGAACTAGTGAGGAATTTTTTAACAAAATGGTATTTTGTCAAAAGATGTTTGGTTCAGGGCTGTCCAACTGGTGTCCTTATGTGGCCTTTGAAGGGTTAATTCATGGCCTTCAGGCTCCTACCCAGCTGCCACTCCCCCATTGCTCTGGCTGCAGCAGCATCAGGGGTTTCCAGGCTCCCCTTCCCTTTTCTGCCTTCCACATCCTGCCCCCACCCCAGCGGGTAGAGCAACACATCCTCTGGTGCTCAGGGTCTCTGTGAGGTGCCTGTGTAGCACTGTGCAGTGGGAGAGTCTGTGGTCATGGAGCTGAAGGGTGAGGCTGCTGCCCATGCATGCAGTGCAAAGAGAGATGGGGTCACCTGCATGCGTGGTGCAGCGGAGGTGGGGAGGGCCATGCGCACAGCAGTGGGATGATTTTTAGGCCCATGTAACAGGCCCATGTGGCCTGGGTGGGGAGGGGAGGTGGGGGGGCTGTGATTCAGGCCAGTGTGGCCCATAGGGTGAGCAGCCCCTGACTGCTTAGAAGATTGATAGCCCTGGCTTAGTTTCATAGTTAGTAAGGTCGGAAGGGACCTGAGCAGATCATCAAGTCCGACCCTCTGCCATGGCAGGAAAGAGAGCTGGGGTCAAACGACCCCAGCAAGGTGATTGTCTAGCCTTTGAGATAAGGTGATTGTCTAGTTCATTGAGACTACAACTTTTTGCAGGATCTTAGGTGCTAGGTTTGATTAAGCTGGAATTCTAGAAATGTACTATTCCCCAGCCACCCCAGGGGAACCATAGCCCAGTGGTTGGGGCATTCACCTGGCATGTGAAAGACCCATCTTCAGGTCCTTACTTCAAACCAGGCAGATCAGGGACTGAAACCTGGGTCTTCTATGTCCTAAGTGAATGTCCCTAACCCTGTGGTTGGCAACTTTTTTCAGAGATAGGCTGAGAAAATGTATCTCAGTCCAAGCTGAGCTAGCACTTCCAACCTGACTGCTGCTGCCACTGTTTCTCCCCTCTCCCCTGGCGCTGAATTGCCACCACCGTGCATATGACCCAACCACTGCCAAATACCACAGATTCTCCTCGCCACTGGATTGCCCCACTACCAAAATGCTGCTGACATCTGGGCTTTATGGGCTGGGTGAAATCATTTGTCATACAAGATCCATCCCAGGGGCTGTAGGTTGCCAACCTCTGCACTAACTCACTAAGGGTCACTCAGTGTCTGGCTTCTTACTTTAAAGCATCTTCATTTCATCTCAGTGCTGAATGGAACAATTTTTGAAAATTCTTAAAAACTTTCCCACCGTTATCCACCCATCTCTACAAGAAAGGCTGCCACTGCTTTCCCACCATTTTCCATCCATCTCTGTGTAACCCAGGTACACCCAAGGTTGTGCCCTGTCCTCAATTAGATGGGATAGGTAGACAGGCCATAGTGCTGTGAGAGGGAGGCTGTCACTTGTGTTCAGATCCCTCTATCCTTTATAGAGCCAGGCCAGGCAAATGTTACTTAACTACATACAATGTATTGATTCATAATCACACCCCCTCACTGACAGATAGAACTTGCTAGGAAAAGGTAGTACCTATTCAGCTTATATTACTTTTCTGCTCTCATTCTGGGGATTCACCACAATCAAAGGAGGAATGTTTCAAGAGAACCATGTTTCCAGAAGGCCAGGCAGATACAAGCATCTGGTGCGCTCTGGGAGGTCTGCTAAGTTTGGGACAGGCCCCACCCCTTTTCTGTTGGCAATTTTGAGGGCTTTTTTACATGTGCTCCAAGGTCTGGACCGGGATAGGGGGGGAACACTTTAATTAGAGTGGCTCCGAGAGCTGCTCTAATTAAAGCGGCGCAGTGAGGTATTCAGCATCCCAGACTTCAAAATGACGTTTGACTGACAAATACTTGTTCAACAAGCTTTAGTTAAAGTGGCTCCACTTCCATTTTGAAGTGTGGAGACGATGAATACACATGATGTGGAGGCTGCTGGAGTGTGCTAATTAGCACACTCCAGAAGATGGATTAATGATGCTAATTAGCATACATTAAAGCAGTCTGACACGTGTGTAGGTGCCCCGTTCCACAATGGAAACACTGGGGGAACCTTGGCAAATAAATCCTCTTAGAGGTTTTTTCCCTCCTTCCTTCAGTTTTTCACATGGAAGGGAAAATATCTGATGCAGGACTCTTAGATTTCCTGCATCCCTAATCTGCTCTTGGGGTGGCCAAAGATTCTTTCCTGGCTGTGTGGGACCTTATGAAGCTCCTCCTCGCACTGCCTTGCTTTTCTTAAGTCCTTTTCCAGGATATGTGGGCTTGAAATATTTCTTTCAATTTCCATAACTCTGCTGTTTTCTCACTGTTCAGCCCCTTCTGTGTTAAGGAGTCAATGGAGATGTGGGTGGATGATGGAAAACTGAGAGAAATATAGTCCAGGGATTAGCTGTGTGGGCTGTTCAGATAGAAATCATGTATCACATGAGAAATCTGTTAGACTTAAAACAGAAATTATTATGTGGTAAATTCATAAGAAGTGGAAATAAGTGTTTTTTTCTGAGTAAAATTCATCCTTATGACCAGTGGGAGAGCGACACTGCTAGAAACTGAAATTGGTATAGTATATGGGACCAGTGGAGCAAACCTTCATGCCAATATGTTTGAACCCTAAACTGGAGGGGACCGTTTCTAACACTGAAGTCTCCATGCCCATTCAGTTATATTAAGATTTCCATCAAAGGTGACAAGGAAGAGACCTTCATTGAAGGAATAGGCAGAAAAATGGCAGATGAATTTCAGTGTTAACAGGTGCAAAGTAATGCACATGGGGAAAAAATATCCTTAGCAATACATGCACTAAACTAACCAGTATGACTCAGGACAGAAACCTTGGAGTCACTGTAGATAGTTCTCTCAAACAGTACACAATGGCAACTAAAAATGACAATAAATTGTTGGGGGCATTACTAAGAAAATAACTGAAAACAAAACAGAAAACATCATCATGCCATTGTATAAATCCATGGTGCACCCACATCTTGAATACTGTGT